TTTTTTTGTTGACAAAAGCAAAGTATCTATTTGTATTGGTATTGTAGAACAAAGATATCCGTGGTATAAGGACAGATTCTACCTGAGACATTCAAATGAATTTTTCACTTGGAAAACAGCTTAGAAATAAACTGTATTGTAAGAAGGATCTGCAACAATGCTACTGAAGCTCACATTACAGATTTTTTTTTTCCTGAATCACTGATAATAACTTTCAGAACAACTTTCAGAGAAAGGCTGCATTGACAGAGCTTGCAAGTGGAAAAGAGCTGACAGATGTTGTACTGCTACACTTTGCAACTGGTCAATTTGACATGGAGCCACAAAGATGGATGCAAACTACCCACTGTTATTTGTATAGAATCTTTTCAGAGATCTGCTCCAAAATGTAACTTATTGCTGCTTTATTTACATCTCCTTCTGAATGCCCTAAAATGCTTGTCTCCTTTTGTACAAATCATACGCTACTTAATGTATTCAAAACATCCATCTCTACTATGCAACACTCCCAGGCTCTTCAACATAATGATCTATACAGCAAAAGAAGTCAGAGGTGAAATTCTGCACCCAAAAAATTAACATTTCAGTTTTATAAACAGTCATAGTGTCCCATTCTCTTTTCCTCTCAGGGATATTTAAAGAGAAAACTTTCATTGAAGAAATAATCTTTTTGCTTCTAATCAGACCAGCCCTTATTTCACTTCACAGAAAGCACATGAGTTAATTTCTAGGAAATGACTGACAACGTACAAAGGATTTGCCAATTTTTTTCTTGCTTCTTTTATATAAGAATCAAAATGCTAGTAAAGGAATGCAACATTAAACATAAAGATGATAAAAAACAAACATATTTTCAGAAATTCTTACCATTGATGTTAGAACTGACAGATTTGATCAGGGTGTCCTGTTTTTTGAGCGGGGGAAATACCATGTTAAAAAATCATTATTATATATAAGGTTTCATAGTGATTTTAGCAAAACAGGCTTAACACAAAGCTCTTTAAATAGTTAAGAGTAGGAAAACACTGAATTCCTGAGAGCAGCAAAGCATTTAATAAAGAAATTATGAGAGCCTTCCCTACTTACAGCAAACCTCACACAGCTGGAAACAACTATATTTTCTCTTAAGGATAAAGGGAAATAGCAAAGAATTTTCTTTCACTTCCAAATGATTCTGTAATTATAGGGGCAGGCAGTTACTATCAACAAAATGAAGGTCCCAACATAGTCCCATATCAACTCTCTTAGACAGTAAATTATTTGAGTAGAAATCATTACAAGTAGTGATTCTAGTCCTGCCTAAGAGACATCTTCTGGCAGTGTCAATGGTTTATTATACAGCACAATGTGTATAACCTCTCATCATTTTAAAGAAAAATCAAACATGATCATCAGGATTATGGAAACAGCCTCTTAGCCTTTTTAAAAAATTATTTTAAATCTGTGTTTTCATAATAAAACTATATTTATTTTCTTACTGTGCCAAGTGCCATGCATGAAGGCTTCTCCAAACCCTCTGCACATGTAGAGCAAATATAGCTCAAACCAGCAGCAGTGCAAACCCTTCTGATACTAAACAGCTCATTTTCCTCAGCTCATGCCTACCCAAAGTTCACTTCTGGGAAGTTTCCTTAGAAAGATCACTGATTTTCTTCATCCAGAACTGGGTTAAAACTCCCTCCCTTCCTCTTCTCTTCCCCAAAAAGGGATCAGTCACAGCCCTGATAATTTTCCCAATCTGATTCATGATACAGCTGCAGGAGAGCTTTAACTGATCAAGGACTGGTACATCAAGAAAATGGAACCACTTCCTTTAGCAGCAGCAGTTTGAACTGATCATCAAAGTACGGTGTTAGCCTTTAGAGATAGTTCAGCGTTGATCAGCCGAAACTTTAAAAATCAGTACGAGCTGACTGACCCATTCTCTAGAAGGCAGGTGTCTAGCTTTTTCTCCCACTTATCTTTCTTCCTAACGTTAATTTTTTTTCCCCAATTGCACATGACCAATAGTAGTATTTTTGACTTCCACTATTTGATACTACATGTGGCTGTATTTCTTACATGCTGAACAAATATGCTTGTTCCCTTCTCAAACCATGTAAGAAGATTTAGCAAAAAAATCTCACAGCCAGTATGGTTTCAAAATAAAGGCAAGAAAAAAACCCAACCCCCCAAACCACTAAAACCCAAATTGTCAGTATGAACTCCAGTGTACCTGTAGGGGCGTGAATACTCTGATGCCTCCAGTGTGAGACAGTGAAGATACATTGACTGGCAGGGTGTTCTCGTGCTGAGGCAGCGACACTAGGAGCAGAAAGACACTAAATGAGAGAAGCAAAGTGCCTTTTAGTCAAACCAGTATGAATCTGCACATTAGGCAAATGTGGATCTATATTTACTAAAAGATACATTAAAATAGAAAGAAACTTTGAAACACACTCAGAAAGCATGGAGGAATGGAATTCACGAAATGCTGAGTACCCTTGCACCTACTGGGGAGATGTAGCCTTGAACTTCCCAGAATTTGTTTGCCAGTGCTTAAATAAATGGCAATTTAACTTTTTTCCCCAGTATGCTTATAGTCACTCCACAGGACGTTAAATGAAGGAATTTTACAAAATGCACTATAAATCCTGGTAACGTGAATCATGCATTCAATAATCAAGCCTAACATGTATCAGACACACATGCACACAGTTTGCCTTGACTGCTTACTAGCAAGCAACTGCCTTGTAGTGTATGTTCATACATCACAAAGTGCTTTCTACAGGACAGTCATCATTTTCTCAGTACTACTGATGGGGAAATGGAAATATGTGACATAACTGTAAATAGATTTTCAGTTTCCCAGCCTGTTCTGTATGTGCTGGACTGCTCTGTGTGGCCTCAGACATTCCAGCACATCCCTACTGGAATTCAGCTAGGAAGTCATGGGAGCTAGGGACTGTTATGCCAAATTTGTGTGTGAAGACGAGTGATCCCACTCCAGCTTCTGTTCCAGCAATGCACACATAGGACCTTAAGGTTGCCCAGACCCTTCTAGTCCTTCCTGCATTTTAGCAAACCTACTCCCTGATTCTTAAGTTCTCACCTTTTGCTCTTTTGTAGCAGTTTACTGTTTCCAGGAGATCAGGTGAAACAGTCATACAGACTTCCTCCAGCACCTGTACATTGTTTTCAGTTAAAAGGCCTTGTTTTTCCAACAAAATCAGCAATTCCAGAGCAGACTGACAGCCAAAAGGAGAGAGTAAAATATAGTTATTGTCCCTTAGAACTCAAAACCAGCCTCAGCCCTGTCTGCCTCAACCAATCACATTATTATCTGCTTTGCTTCCTACCAACAATGTCCGAACAGTCAATTTTACATCACTGTGGGAGGTAGAAATGTCACTCCATGGAAAGCTACTGGCTGTGTTATTATTTGGTATGGCCTTGTCTAAACAGATTCACCTAAACCCTATTAATGACTCGTGGCTTCAAGACGGCTTTATTGCTGTGAAACAGTACCAATGACTGAATCTCCTTTGCATGTTGCTCAAGCAGGGTGAAGATTTGATTTGTCACCCTTTTATGATCTAATGCAAGACTGTGGACTTGGCACAAAGCACCAAATTCCACATTTACCTGTCAACAGCTTCTTCCTTGCTAACTCTACAAACAATGACCAACCTAGTTGCAGACTATGCCCTATTCTGCCAAATACTTCTCTCTTCACGCTTTTCCTCCTATTTCCCACCCTCCTTCTTCCCTTCCCACCATATACACATTTGTCTCTCTCCTCACATACAAGAGTTATCCGTCGCTTTGGAAGACAGTCTTGCAGGAGGAATATGATCTCCTTCAACATCTCATTGGTAATGTTCTCTGACAATTCATACAGCATCTGCCTGTAACAGAGATCCAGTGAGATAAAAGCAGAATGGAAGACAGTGTAGAAACTAAATGCAATCTGAGAATTTAAAAATAGAAAGGGCAAGATGACAGTAGAGGAGAGCACAGAATCCCACTGCAAGCTCACCTGTACAGAGACACTCTTCCCTTCTCACACAGACATTCTTGCACTTTATCCTTGGTATAACCAAGTTTCTTGAGCAAGGAGTGACATTTAATTCTGTATAAGAGTTCAGCTAGCAGGAAAGTATCTTCCTCATTCAGATATTCTTCAGCCATGAGAAGCTGAAAGATGTCCACTGCTGACTTCACACCTTCTAGTTTTTTGAAGGGGAGCAAATCAGTACAGAGAAATTTTAAAGCTGCTACATCTTCAGCCACCAGATTTTCATCAATGAGCAGAAGCTGCTGACGGAACTTCAAGCTGACATCATCCTCCATGTTGCTGGAACCAATGCTCTCTCTGCCTGAAAGTAGAAAGCAAATGCTAGTAACAATTGAATCTTCAATACAACAGTCCTTGTAGTAAGATTTCATCCAACAGCTGTTTGGAAGCCCTGAATTCTCTGCAGAAGAGGAGTTTCCTTTTAAATAAATTTGAAACTTACTTCCTTCTCCAAATGCAAGACTACAACAAAGACCAGATTTGGCATAAGCTCTCAACAACTCTGTCCAAATTTGAGGTTAGCCCTACTCTGAGTAGAAAACTGGGCTAGATGACGAGATCCTTAAATTCTTCTATTTCTTTCAAACATATTTCACGTTCAGATCTTTGCTTTTCTCCATTGTAGGTGGGAAGAGTCCCTGCAGTAACTTATTACAACTCTCAGCAGAGAGAGCACAGTGGTTCCTTGATCTTCAGTCCAAGGGCTCATTCTTCTCTGGCTGTAGCAGGGAGGTGTTCCCCTGTTACAAGCCTGACACACTAGCTGAAGCTGTGGAATATCCATCCACTTCCAGTCATATCGCTACCACACTCTGTTTCACATTTGGCATAGGAAAACCCTAAAGCCTCCCTTATAAGTAAATGTCAACTAATATAATAGTGCTCAGCACTCAGTCTAAATAGGCTCAGCACAAACAACTCAATCTTACTAAAGTTTAATAGAGACTAATCACCCTTCCCCTACACCAACTTCTTCTGTGTAGCCTAGGCAGTTCTTTTCTACCTGTGGAAGGTTATATAGGTAAAAAGGTGCTTCAGTGCCTTCTACCCAAATGGGCATGTAGATCTTTAATCTCTAATGAGCACAACAGAAAATCAGGGAAGCGGGAGCAGGGACAGAACCTCTGAATCCAAAGCCTTTAAAGCATCTGGGAAGGCAGGTTAGCAGATAACCACTGAGGATATCGTAGCACATGAGGGCACAGAGAAGAGACAGCTGCATTTTTTGTGTTCAGAGGCAGAGAGAAAAAATAATCACCAAGTCCAGATGCCCCATTAGGAAACAAGGTTTGACAGAACCTAGGAATCCTGAATCGTGTCTTGTCCCTAAGTCACAAGTCAGAGCCTGTGTGAGAAAAAAAGGTGAGATGCCTTTTTTCCTGTATTCAAGCTTGCTCTCTCATAGCTCAATAATTGTTCTTCACATTCTTTCTCTCCTCATATGAAAGCCATATGACACCTTATTCACTGAAGCTGCTATCAAAAAGGTTCAGACCTCAGCCAGTTATCTACAACACAGAAATTATATCACTTCACAGTAAATCAGACTTTAAATTCATTTAGCTAAGAGCTATCTTAAAACCCTACCTAGGTGCTTTAATCAACTAAATTTAGCAGAATAACTTAGGTTAAACTGATTCTTGCCTAAAATAACAAGCCTATATAATCCAGGTTCAAACTGAATTATGACAATTCAGAATTTAGAGACCAAGATTTCATCACTTTAGGAGAATGGGGCAAGTTGTCTGTACATAGTCATTTAATGAGCAAATCAAACTGAAGCAAGAACTAACACAAATTCCTTCACCCACCTTTAAAATAGTTTTCAACTCTGTATGGCTGCCACTCTTGGAAAGCATTTTTCACTCCAAACATTTCCTGCTAGAGTTTGTAATACTCTCAAGACCTCTCAACACGTGCTGCATTTACTAACTCTCTGCAACCTCTCTTTGTCTCTCTACTGAGGGCACACTGGGCTGGCCCTCTCTCCCAGCACTACAATAAAAGGAAATACCGCTGGCTCACTGCCTGCTCATCTGCTGCTCAGCTTACTGCTGTGGTGTTTTTAGAACCCTCTACCGCTTCATGCATTTTACAGGCCATTTATAAAACACTATGGTAAAAACCAAAATACTAAAGCAAAGACGCAAAACAAGCAAACAATCCTTATTCCAGCCAAACAAGATGATGCTAAACAGCCAGCATCAACACACACAAGGCCCAAGACATACCCGGTCGCCAGGTCTGCTTCAGCTCGCCCCAGCATTTACAGCCAGAGCTAGCAGCACATTAGTAAGCAGAACACTGACACACAGAGAGGCGATGGATCCGTGTCTCTAATTTATGTTTTGTGATACATCCTTAGAGAAGGAAAATCACATAATACAAGCAACAAGGATTACCAAAGTACCATTTTTTTCCTTTAAATTTTTATTGACTAGGGCACTGCCAGACTAAAAGATTTAAGAATAATGCACAGGTGAGTACCGAGCCTCAGCCCACAGCCCCACAAACAAGGGAGATGTTCACGTCCGGCCCCACGGGTAGCCCGGAGGCGGCTGCACAACACCGGAAGGAAGGAGCGGGACTTAGGTTCCGGACTCGGGAGCTGAAGCCTTTCTTTGTTCCCTCTCCGGTTCAGTCTCCCCTTTCCTACCTGTTACAGGAACTCCGACCGCGTCCCGCTCCCGGCAGTTACTCCTGGGCGGAGCTCGACGCTTCCCGCTTCCTTTCCCGGCCAACCGCCCGAGTGCTGCGTCACGCC